GAGGGAGAGAGGGGAGGGACAGACTAGACAGACGCTCACTCTGTTAAATATGTATGGCAAGTGTCTGTGTCGGCATAATTATGCGGAAGCTGACAATGCAACTAGCTTTATTTTTTTTTTCTTTCTCTCGTTTCTTTGGCGACCCCCCTCAACAATCGCATGCAAGCTAGTTGCGGCTTTCTTAAAAAAAAAAAAAATTTTCTTTCAATGCCTTTTGGCATAATTCCACACACACACACACTCACACATACATAGTGACAGAGACAGTAACAATGCTTGAATTGTGGCCCAAAAGCGTTTTAACTGTTCGGCTTTCTTAGCGCTTCTGTTTTGGTGACGGCTCTTAAATTGGCCACAAAGCTTAATTGCCACGGCAAACAGTGCGAACTGTGAAAAACTGTTGCCGTTTGATGTCGATTACATAATCCATACGGTTGGCCATGCACGCGATGCCACAGAGCCAATAAAACGCATGCACATAGCAAGTGAAACATACATATGTATATACATAGGTAAATCATTGTATATATATATATGTATTTAGTTTATATATAGCATATAGATCTGAGTCTGATTTGTTATTGTGCAAGTTCTCTGACCCTGACTGACCCTAATCGACCTTAATTATGCAAACCTCAAATATCGAGTTTGACAACAATAGCCAGCCCAAGAAAATATGCATAATGTATGTATATACCTATATACATGTTTGGTTAATATATACGATTTGATTCCGTTTGTTTTTATCTGCTTGAATATGACTTTCCGATTTGTTTGTCGCATAACTGTAGCGGCTATAAATTTATGCAAAGCACAAGTGTGCGATAACGTACCAAAACTGTAAGCTTTTCACATTTGGGAGCGTTCAATAGATATGTATACATATATGTAGCTATATAGCCTGCTTAAAGACGATGTGAGGCATCTTGAGTTGAAGTTTGATTGCAAGTATTCAATAAGTTTATATATTTATTATTTATTATGTATATTTATTATGCATATTTTTTTATGTATATAAAGATATACTTGTTTATAGAGTATTTGAGGTATTTGAGCTAAGAAAAACTTAGCTGCAATAGAGCTAAGAACAATTTTTCATATAATAAATAAAAATTAAGTAATTTCAAAGCAAAAACCAGAATCTTACCTAACTAATAAATGTACATATAAAATGTTAAATATATGTATGTTTAAAATACCCTCCTCTATTCCTTAATGCAGGGTATTATTGATCAGTCCATATACGCCTTAATCACAAATATACGGTATATTACATATATGTTAAATATACCCTCTCTAATTCCTTAATACAGGGTATTACTAATTAGTCCGTATATGCCTTAATCACTCATATACGGCGTCTTATAGAGCTTGAATCGATTTCTATGCGATTAGCCATAGTTTCTAATATTGTTGTAACACACGTTTTAATTACTTTTCTTTTCTTTTATTGTATTGCTGTATACAGGGTATTTATTTCCCCAGTTGATTTCTAATTAATAGTTTTTCGTTGACATTCGAACACGAGTTCGTCATAATTTGACACCTTGATGAATTAATTTCGTTTTGATGATGTTTCATTTTTATTTTTCTATTGTTTCGTTTTTCATTTTTCTGTCGCTGTCAGGTGAAAGTCTTGCCCAAGGTTATTCACGATATTTGGCAGCCGCGAGTTGTTTACCCGTTTAGAGCTGAGCTGGTGGCTTTGAACTTAACTGGGGACCCGAGGGCCATTTGCCCCGTGGGCTAATAGCCAAGTGAACTTGACAAAGATTTAGATTCAGCTTTGCTGTTAATCACAAAAAAAAAAAAAATCGCTTGTAAAACTCGGGGAATCATTCTTCTTTTATGATTTGAAAGTGAAATAAACCTTTTTTTGAGCAGGGGTTTAGTTTTTATGTTTTAATAATTTGCTTTAGTATAAAGTATATAGTCATAAAAATGATATATATGATTAGTTAATAGAAATAGAAAGGAGTAGCAGAAGGAGTTTACTCCAAAATTCTTTTAAGTTTTGGATACAAAGCTGAAATTTAAGTGCATCATAAATAAAAAAATTATGAAATAAATATAAAAAATGGTATACTTATTTATTTTCTTTAAAATTTATACATTTTCAAATTTAAAATACGAATTAATTGCATTAAAATATATATGCACATATATTCAGCCAAACTGTTATATAAAATGTTAAGTCAAGTTCGTTTCCTAAGTCTTTTGATTTTGTATCGCTTAATATGAACTAATTACGTTTGCACGTTGGCCATTAACCCTTGGGTGACCCACTAATGTCTTCATTCGATAAGTGGACTAATTGGCAGGCTGGTCTCTACTCGTGGGCTGCTCCCAGACATGCCCCTTCTAAACGTCCGTTGTCGAGTGGCAACCCCATTTAAATCTCAACAGATTTGACGCAAAATGCACGCCCTCGAAACGAGCATGTCTTTCGTTTCTTTCACTTCTGCACGCCCATGCCAGCATGAAAATGGTAACAGCTATTGCCGGCAACAATTTCTAAATAAGTGCCCATAATTCACAATTAAACGTTTTGCTACATTTCACTTTCTGATCTATATATATGGGCGATGTGCGTAAATGGAACTGTTAGTTTTTTTGGTGTGTTTTTTGGTGAATGGGCACAGCTGCAGATGCTGGTATGAACATGTGTTTTTTTTTTCTCATATTTGACATTGTACTATATTCAGATTGAGCAATAAGAAAGAGCTATAGATGGCAATGTCTTGAATTTCACGCGCTATATATGTATAAAATGTGTTCTTCGTCTGCATTAGATTCCCATATAGATAATCCATAAAATGTTTGTTAGACTGTATCTGTATTTTCGCTATATTTGGACTTGTCTGTTCTATAAATAAAATAAAAAAACGATGCAAAAATATATTTTATAATAATATTCTAAAATTTATTTTATAACAATAAATAAAAAAAGAGCAGAAAAATGTAAAATTAAATGAAATGCTAAAGAAAATGAAATAAAATCGTATATTTTTGAAATGAAAAGAAAAAATTATTATTATAGTAAATGTACCTAACATTATACATACATTTTTTATTTAGCTAAATTATTATAATATGAAAACATAAAAATTTAATGAA